ACAAGATGCGGACTTGAGATCCTATTTACAAATACCATTAGAACAAATCATTCTATTCATTAAGAGAATGCAACTATATATCTATCCTAACCACTTTGAATACACAGATACAAAATGGACATTCATCTGTATACCCCATTTTTTCTAAGTTCCGTTACTGAATATTATAGGTGTGTAAACTCATCAAAATATTCTAAAAGAGTCCAGTAGCCCATAATAGCATTGGGTCTTCTGTTTAACTGGCAATGTCAGAAATTATTGACCTGAGTCCCCCACAGCTCAACAGAACAACATTATCTTGCCAGTTCTTAAAATGAATTCTTATAGGCATTTTTCTTACAACCTTTTCTTTCCTGCCTCCCTTTTCTACACTAATTGTAGTCATAGGTTGCAAACTAGTCACAGTTAATAGGCCAGATATGTTCAATAATCATGCTATTTTGTTCAGTGTATATCTAAAAATAAACAAACAAACTTCTGAATCAGTTTTTGATTGAAAAATGGGAAGATTTCACATCAAAATCCTTATTTCCAGTTTCCTGAGAGCCGAGTATGTTGTGGGGCTGCACAAGCATTTGTGCGAAGGTTGTCAGCTGGAGCGGGATGCCCCCTGGCCCGTAAAGGAAGGCACACATTCCCTGGATGATCCCCTGGTTATTGTGCTCCTTGTTGACTGCCCAGCCACTCTAGGCTTCTGCATTTACAACTCTTGCGGAAGACATGCAGTAAAAACTGAAGATGGAAACACTAGACTCAGTAAACACAGCCTGGCAGCTGTTAATGACTCTCTTAATGGGCGATATGTTTGTTTTAGGGACTTAAGCTCAAACTTCTTATTTTAATCCTTAGTTGAATACATTAACCTCATGGACTGAATTTAGCTCTTCTTCCTGAACTTGCCAAGAACTGATCATGAATTAGGGAAATGGTCAAGTGGAAGAACGAAAGGGCAGCCAGCCTAAACAGTCATGTGCAAATAACTAGAAACACAGAGCATATAGGATTGGTCCACAAAAAAGAGAACTGTTCCACAAACACAGTGTTCCCTAAAAACATGTGGGAATCATAACACTCATGATGCTGACTGAGTGTTGCTGGCAGCAACCCAGTAAATCTGGGGCTATACGCAGAATTCCTAAGCCAGCCTGAGCCGTACTGGTTTCTCCTGGGCCCTACAGTCGGTTTCAAGCCTTGCTTTCCCCAATCACTCCTACTTTCTTAGGCACCCCTTTGACATCGCTCTTCTTCTTGGTGCAGTAGGTCAGGGGGTCCCTAACTTGGGATCCACAGGTGGCTTTCATCATCAGCCATTCTTAAGAAACAAGTGCATTCGTGAAGGTCAGAGCTTTAGGGCTCAAAAATAAATTGAACAGCATAGTATTTGTAAAAGGGCATGGGTAATGAAGAGCACAGGGGCCTTGGTGACACTCTCTACTCCCTGAGCTGTCATGGCTAGTTTCCTTGTCATGTGCAAAGCTCGGCTTTTATGCCATCATTCTGGTCATGAGGAAAAACTTCAAGCTACACAGGGCATGTGAGGCGTTGTGCTGGTAGAGACTGCATGTACAGGGAGCAAAGTTGCTATTTTTTTAAGACATCTGAGCAAGCTACAAACACACTAATCGTGCTGTACTTGTCTATCTTGTCTGAAAGAATACTATAGAGATTCCCAAGGCTTTTAAGTGAAGATTCCTTAAATTTGAACATTATTATTACCTACAACTAATCTAAGGACTCTTTCATTACAGGAAATGTGGTTAATATGACATAAACTATATTTTGTTGAACTTCCCCACCTTTATAAATGATATTTCTTCTCTAAATGTGTGTAAATCATATGGTGAGTGACTCTCAAAGTTTGCTGGGCAACAGTGTTTCACTTATCATCAAGTGTCCAGAATATACTTTTTCCTCATCTCTGAGAATAGGGATATGACTTGCTCCTCTCTTATGATATTTCTCCCATACTCAAACATATTCAAAACTCCCAGGTCACCATTTCCCTCTTCTCAATTCAAATTCTTTCCTCTGGGAAACTGCTCATCTCAGCCTAGAGATAATCTCACCTACAACGGCAAATGCGCTTTGTATTATCACCTCTCCTAACTCTGTCACTAACACCTTCTCCAATTTGAAGATAGAGCCTCTTAATGAAGAAGAATTAAATTGAATAATTCAGCTGAGCTTTGATATGTCAGTAAAGTAACACTCTAAGTGATCCCTTCTTCCTGCGGTGTGTGTCAGCACCGTATTTTCAAGGTTTAAGGCTCTAGGAGTTGGTCTGTGTTTTCTAGTGCTTTTCCTAAAGGGGCCGAATACTTTCTCCTCCATCATTTATATTCTGTATACCATTAGGGATCCTAAAAAGACACATATACTTTTATAAATTGCTGGTGTGCACACATATACTTGAGTCCCTTTAACTTTCCCTTGCCTTTTGGGTAATAGAATTGACTGGGATCATAGAATCTGATTTATAGCATGTATAACTTTCCCAACATTGCTGAGACAAATATCCTGGTAGAGATGGTAGAGATGGTAGAGATGTTAATTGGAGAATCTTAACTACACTATTATTGACAAGCTGGTTCACTAAATTCTGGGACAGGGCACAGTCAGAAAGCTCCAACAGGCCAGAATCACATTCTTTCTATTACTGCTGTATCATGCAAGTGCTGTTATAGGTTAGGATTCAGTCAGGAATCTTGGTGCACTTTAGTGCTGATGAGAAGACTGTGAGGACAGGACCTGAGGTAATGACCGGCTGGAAATTTAGCCATCTCTCCACTGGCTCTGATGTTTGACTGAATTTCCAAAATTCTGGTAAACAAGATATGACTGGTCTTTCACCTCTGTCTAAAAATAAGCAATAGTGTACTGGCACCTTTGGATTGATGGACAAATTTTACAAGATACAGTGTGACATCCTGGAGATTTTAAATCTTCACCCAGCTTTTCCTTAAGCAGATCATCACTCTGGATGACAATGCCCTGTTTGTAGTGCCAGGTTTGGATGCATAGGAAAGTCAGACATAAAAGATATGCCAATAAAAGGGGCTTTCTCTCATATAAGAGCTGAACAGGAAATGTATCCTGTTAGTTCCATGACGTGAATAGGCACTCAGATAAAATGGTTCAAAAACTTCACTACAAAACTTCTCGCTAGCTATCTAACAGAAAGTAATAGGCAAAAAGAGAAATTAAAATATAATAAACTTTCTAGAAAAACCTCTACTCCTGAGAGGGTAGGAGCACAAGAACTTTCAAAAACTACAATGTACAGTCAATTCATAATGAAGAGCCGTAGTGCCTGAGGACACAGTTTACTCTTGTAATGTTTTTGAACATGAGCTGGATTGTTAGGAACAAAAAATTTTTACAGTTGAGAACGGTCACGTAAGACACACTGGAAGCCTACAAAGTGAGTTTTGTGAGAAAATCATGGGAGAGCTCTCACAGGTCAGGATTCAGTCAGGAATCTCAGTGTGATGTGCTTTGGTGCTGCTGAGAAGGCTGTGGGGACACAACCTGACGTAATGAAAAGCTAGCTCTTTAGCCTTTGTTTATGTTTTTATTTTTTTTGTGGTACCAGGGATTGAACTCAGGACCTTGCACTTTCATGAAATCTGAGAAGCTTAGAGACTGGGGGTGGACAGAGCACTCTACATTTAAAATCTATGTAAAATTCAAAGATAGAAAATGTAAAGCCATATTAATATGCTGAGCTGTAAAAGGCTCAAGTCAACAACTTCTGACATTGCTAGTCTTATGGAAAACTCACTACCATTATGGACTACTGGACTATATTGGAATATTTTGCTGAATTCATGCACCTACAATATTTAAATGACAATGGAATACCCTTCTCTGACAAAACTAAACAAAACAGGGGATACAAATGAACGACCATTTTGTATCTGTATATTCAAAACAGGATAGATATATAGCTGCATTCTCTTAATTCAATGAATAGAAAGATTTATTCTAATAGTGTTTGTGGACAGGATATCATGTCTGCATCTTGTACAATGAATAACCACTACGACAACAACATGCAATGTGTTAATTATTGAAAATGCTAGTAATCGGTTTTGCAACCGTCTCATTGCTATTTGTTTCTCGATAAAATTATTTTTTAAAAAATGCTTAAAATTTTGATGAAAATAGGCAAAAAATTCACATAGCAAATAGAACAGTGCATCATATCCTTAGGAATAAGTAGGGTCTATAAATAAACACCTTTCTATCAAAGAAAACTTTAACAGTGTTTATCATAATAAATACAGTGACAATAGACTAGCCTCCCAATATACCTATCTTCTAGTCACTGGGGTCGGTGAATAGGTTATGCTATATGGAGCCAATAAGTTAAGGCTGGAGGGGAAATTAAAAGACTAATCAGATGACTTCATTCATTCATTGGAAATAGTGGAGATTGAACACAGGGCATTCTCACAAACTACAGCCTTCTCCCCACTTTTCTTCATTTTTACTTTCAAGACAGGGTTTCTCTAAGGTGCTACGTTGCCCAGGCTAGGTTCAGACTTGTCATCCTCCTGCCTCAGGCTCACCGAGTGCTGGGAGTGCAGGTGTGCACCACTTTGTTCATCTACATGGGCTCTTTAGAGGGTCAGGGTGATACAACTCAAGAAAGACCCCACCCACCACTGCTGGATTTGAAGCAGGAGGAGGCCCTGACATGGGGAATGCAGGCAGCCTCTGGAAGCTGAGTCCAAGAAAGAAATGGACGTTTCTCTGGCTCTTCTGGCAAGCCGTGAAGCTTTAGCCATCAGTGAGAGGCCTATCAGTTAGTATAGGGCAGTGCATTTATGTTAATCCAGGCTTCAAGTTTGTGGTAATTTAGGTACAGCAGCAACAGAAAAATAAGATGTCAACTTACAACTACTTTGGAGAAAGAAAACTCTCTAAAAATATCAATGCACCAGACAATACAACAGAGCTCCTCTTTTCTAGCTGAGGCAAGAACATAAGACACTCACCTTTTTATAGGTTTTTTCTTCACTTTGTTTTCCAGGTGCTGCATCTTCATTTTCAGCAGCTGACGACATCTATAAAGGAAAAATGCTGAATTTAAATTCTACTCTGAAACACAACCTATTAATATTCTTAAATAAACAGTGCATTTTAACAATGTTTTTGTTGGTACCGCTGTTTCAAAGAAAGAAAGAAAGAAAGAAAGAAAGAAAGAAAGAAAGAAAGAAAGAAAGAAAGAAAGAGAAAGAAATTCTCGGAATATTGTAAAAAAATTTGTTTCTTAATCTTTCCAAAATAAATCTTTACTTCTAAAGCATTCTAGTGGCATACTTAACTTTGTTAGCTCTAAGAAAAATGCTATAAAAGTCTAAGCATCTATCACATATATAAATTTGTTCCTACAAAGCCATTTAAATATTTTCTTCTGGTTATAAATACTTAGAGTAAAAATATCTGGGAAGTACCAAAATACATGAATCAGAACAAAAAAAATACTCTTAATTCTACTTCCCTTAAGGAACTCTACTATTGAGATTCTAGCATATTTGTTTCTACTTTTTGTTCTATGCATTTTTATTTTACATGGTATAGTATCATCTTCTTAGTTTTCCTGAATATTGATGTGATAAACATTTTCCTGTTTGATGATAAAAAAGAGAGAACAAGGTAGTGAAGGTTAATATTATCTTAATATTATTTTTTTAGCTTTGCATTTCTTCTTTTGAGTTTTCCATTTGTCTATGCAGTTTTGGTCTCGAAGTTACTGATTTTTTTTTTACCTACAGTCATTAATATTAATGAGTTCCCTATTGCTTTATAAGCTTTAAAGTTACATCCCAAGCACCTTGTTAATATTTGTCCATGCTGAATGTATTCTACCTTGTTTTACAATTGTGACACAGTTTTGCAGCTTTGCATACTTAAAATTGACCATCTTCATGAGTCTACTTAAGATTTTTGAATAGAATACTTTTTTCTCAGAGAGATATCACATGTTAAACAAGTATTTCTCTCTCATAATTACCTCATAGTCTTTTAATAATAGTTATTTCTGTGATACACAAGGGTAACTGCATAATCAGAGGAGCACAATATTTAGGATCTTAAATTACATGAAGAGGAGTTAATATATCAAGGAGGGATAAAATTTTTATTATTTTTAAACTTCTGATTTTGTTATGAGTTTTTGAAGCATGTTCTAAATCTTGGGCTTCATACTTACAGCTGCATAATTTGTCATAGATAAATTCTTTTTTTGTGTGGCTGGCTCTCCCCATCCTGGGGGCAGGGCTGGCACAGCATGTGGTGTGAGGATTGAACTGTTGTCCCTGCATACTTGCCTAAGCTTGCCTAAGCAGGCACTTTTGGCTGCTGAGCTATCTCACTGGCCCTGTTGCTAAATCTTAGAAACACGATTACCCATCACCTGAGCAACCAACTACCCATCAACTGAGGAATGGATAAAAGAGATGTGGTATTTTTATACAATGGAGTATTATTCAGCTCTAAAAGGGATAAATTTGAAGCTTTTATCAGTAAATGGATGCAACTAGAGACCATGCTCTTAAGTGAAGTAAATCAGACTCCCATGTGCAAACATCCTATTGTCTTTCTAGTGTAAGAACCTGAAACAGTAAATAAAATCTGAAGGATACAATAGATGCTATGAAAAGGGACTGAATCTGTCAAAAGGAAGGAATTACTGAGATGAGCAGGACAGGAAAGGGAATAGAGGAAACAGATACGTCTTTGTATGTAAGTAGGATGATTTGGATAATTGTACTGTGGAGTTCTGCTGGTCTATGGAAAGGAGAAGTTAATGCTTAATGCTTTTGTCTTCTTTTTCATATTTTTCCTCTGTCTTTTTACTTTCTTAAACTTATTCTTTCTTTTCTTCTTTTTTATCAATTTTGCATGCATGTATCTGGTAATCTGAGCAATTAAGCTGAAGGCAACACTATGCAATACAACAAATACTGTTGAGCTTGTATTATTTTGTTTAGCGAAATTCTGTATCATTTCTAATTTTTTTATTATTACTATTTTGTATTCGCCTTAAAAAATAAATACATCCTGGGCTTTCAATAAACAGTACTTGTTATACCAAGAAATTCATCAGCCATTGCTCTAAATGGAACTAAATGGCTGACTGCTCCCTGGCTGCCAGGAGCATGTGTAACTACAGCCATCCAGGTGGTGAAAGCCTCCTTACTAGGTTTACTACTGCCCGGGAACCAGACCTCCCTCCTACCTTCTTGACTTTTCATGTGTACTTACAGCCATTCAGCCTGCCCATATGAGAATAGGGAATCTTCAAGGACAGCTGTTTCACAAATAAGTGCTTCCCACTCCTCTTCTTTATTTGTACAAAAAAAACCCATGAGTTTTCTAGTTTCCTTAGAACAATATTTGGGTGAGATCTGAGTAAAATACTAGGAAATTTTAAATGCTTGGCAGGCTTTCTAATGTCAGGTTCAGGGTCAAAAACAAACCTGGAGCTGTTCAACAAAAGATCTTGATGAAGAAAGCCACAGCGGTCACTTCCCTTCTGGCTTACGGTTCTGAAATGGAAGTGCTTCAAGAGCAACTTTGAAGGGTGCCTGAAAAACCACCTCAATGAGAAAGTGGCTTAAGGCCCCAAGTGCAGGACAGACTACGTGATGGTTTTAACGTATGTTAAATCACCCCTCAGTTGATGGCAGGAAGAGGAGAAAAATGTGCAAACTTCTATTTTTAAAAATCACTTCCTTTTAAGGTATACAAAACAGATAATAATGACAAAAGAGGGCCACGAACTGTCATGATTCAAAACTTTTTTTCATCTTTTGTTTTTCCTTCTGTCCAGTGATATATGATAAAGACCCATGGACCAATTAATCAGAGACACCTGGGCTGGAGAGGCACCTGCACTGCTTAGGACAGGCTGGTAAGCTACCAAGGACTATTAAAATAGATACAGTGGTGATTACTGTTTGTTCCTGCACTTTTTATGTTTCCACATCAATTAAGGTGTATCATTTGCAACTAAAGAAGCCAAGATAGATATGGAATAAGAACCTATTTTACAAAGCATTCTAATCATATTATTTCAACATACACAAAAAAGGAGGGGAAAAGACATTCTGGCAATTATCTGCAGCTGACTGGATTATACATTCTTTAGGTTTTCATTTTTAGATTGTGTTTTATTCTTCAAATATGTTCAACTGCACAGTGCTACATTTAAATATAAGGAAAATATTAAAAATTTAACCCCACACTCTAATTAGTGGCAGAGAACATGTATCCTTGGTTTTTTCCCCTTCAGATATGCCAATGTTCAAAAAATTTCGAGTTTCTGTTTGTTTTTAATTTGATAATGTTATAGTTAAAGGTCATGATCTAGATACATGTTTTAGAATATTTGTAAATGAATATACAAAAAGCAGGGTAAGGGCTTTATACTGTATCACTCAGAATTAACTAAAATTGTGAACTATATTTGCTTACCTTTGTAAACAGAATGGCAAAGTCATCTGTAGTTGGTAGTGATGGGCGGCCTATTCATCATTTCTAAAACTCTTTTTTTCCCCAGGTTCCTGTTAAAATAGAAATCACTGGTCATTATTTATTTATATTTCTACTTGATCTCTCCCAAAAGATCAGAGATGGCTAAAGGGACACACACAATGTAACCAGCTGAAATAAAGAACCTGCATGAGGAAAAGAAGAAGATGGGGAACAAAATGATGCCAGCAATGTGGGCCATTCGCTGAATGTGAGCCATGATGACGTAGAACAAAAGGCCGTCTCCACTGTGACTCTGTGAGCCCTGGCTGCTGCATACAGCAAACAAAGGCACCAACATTGACTAGAAGTTCAGTGTCCAACGGGTGAAAGCAAACTGTTGCTCAAACAGGTACTAGGGGAAAGAGGTTAGGGTGGGTTTTCATACGGGACACTCCTGCGAACATGTGGATAGCTGTTCAATATTATCCCCATGACAAACACACTGAGTTTCATCAGAGTTACTCAGGATGCTCTAGGCTATAAATACAAGAGCTATTTTCTCATTGCAATAAACTTTTAAGTTCTGAGAGGTATAAAGTAAAAATAAATCAGGTCCCATGCTTTTCTTCCTCTGGAGATTACCAATGGTACAGTTCATTGTAGAACTTTATAAACTCCTATGCTTATTTACACACACACACACACACACACACACACACACACACACACACACCACATTCTTATTTCTGCTACTTGCCCTTACCAATATATTTTATATATTTTTCAAATTGATGCATGTACCTAATTTTAAAACAACTGCATAGTGTTCCACAAGGAGAACATACCATCATATAACCAAACACTTTTGCAGTTGAACACCAGATTGTTTCCAGGATTGGCTAATATTCTCCAGGGCAGGAAAAAACTGTCTTATTCGAACACATTTAATGTTCCAGTGCTTTTATTTCTGTGGGAAAGAATCCTTGGAGTGACACTGTGGGACCAAACGTGATATGCACATTAACTATTCAAATGACTATTGCTTTGCTCCTTTCTGTAAAAATGTCCAAGCAACCCACCCAACAGTGCATGAAGAATACTTGTTTCTAACAAACTCATCAGCACTGGATGCCACCATCTTTATTGTTTCCCAGCCTGATTGGCAAATCATGGCATCTCAGCTGTTTGATTTCACATTCTCTAGCTATTAGTAAGTCTCATTCTTTTCGTGGGCTTATTGATGATTTACATTTCCATTCATGTCCTTTGACTATTTTTATACTGAGCTGTTTATCATTTTATGATCAGTTTGTAAAATCTTTTAATATATTGAACATTAACTGTCATGAAATGCAAGCGATTGTTCCTTTGACCTTATTTATGTGTTCTTTTCATATAGATATTTTAAAGTTTTACAGTTAAATCTGCCCAAGTTTTCTTTATAGTTTAGAGATTTACTGTCATGCAATTTTTTCTCTTTGGATTTGGAAGAGGCCTCTTCCTAAGTTAATGCCATGTATGAATTCTCCTATACTTTTTGCTGATACTTTCATGGTTCCATTTTAACATTAAATCTGTTCTCCAAATGGAAGTCAATCTAAATGCAACTATCATCTGATAATTTTCCCAATATACTTTATTTTGTAAGTCAGGCATAGTGGTGCACACCTATAATTCCAGCACTTGGGAGGCTAAGGAAGAGAACTGCTGTGAGTTTAAGGCCAGCCTGAGGTACAAAGTGAATTAAAGGGCAATCTGAACAGTATAAGAAGACCTTGTCTCAAAAAGACATTTACACACACACAAATTTTATTTTTATTTTTTCTTACTAGAAAGGCATGCCACTTTTAGCATACACTGTTTTCCTATATACTTCAATCTACTTATGGATTGTACTCTGTTCCAATAACTTGCAGATTTCTGAGCTAATATATTGCATTACAATATCTAGACTGTATTAAAAAACCTCAAAAAATTAGACTCCCCCAAATAAAAGACCCAATCAGAAAATGAGCAAGTGGAATGATCCAACGCTTCACAGAAGAAAAATAAATGGCTAATAAACACATTAAGAAATGTTCAACATGCTGGTTGGTAGTGAAATGCAAGTTAAAACAACTCTGAGATTCCATCTTACCCCAGAAAGAATGGCCATTATCAAAAATAAAATAAAAAAGAAACTCTTTTATATTGCTGGTGGGAATGAATGCACATGGATATAAACTGTATGGAAATCAGTACAGAGATTGCACAAAAATTAAAAGTAGGAATTCCATTGGACTCAGCTATCCCCCTCTTCTTTCCAGATGAGTTACTGATATCCTATGACAGTGACAAATGCATAACCATGTAAATAGCAGCACAATTCCCAATAGCTAAGCCATACAAGTGGCTTACAGAGCCATCAAAAGATGAATGGATAAAGAAAAGGTGATTTTTACAGACAGTGGAGTACTACTCTGTCATAAAGAGAAGCAGAACTTGAGTGATTTGTTGAAGAATGGATGCAACCAGAGGCCATGATGTTAAGTGAAATAAATGAGACATGCAAGTTTAATTATTGCATGATTTCTCTTACACAATAAACCCAAAATATGAATAAAAAGCAAAATAAAAGATAGATATAGGAAGTACAGAGAGTTCTTTTGCAATTGGGAAGAGGCTCAGAGATGGAGGGAGAGGAAAGGGGATGAAAAAAGGAATTAAGCTGCAGGATGTGCATGTTCAAACTCTACACAAGGAATATAAATCATGTATTACAAACACGTACTAACAGCATGTCCCAGGGCAGCGCTGGTGCATCATGTGTTGCAGGGGATGGAGCACGGGCCTAAGCAGGCATTTAGTCTGCTACGCCATCTTGCTGGCTCTGTTTTTCACTTTTTTAAATAGAGATTTTTTTCCACCTATATTTTTAGCAATTATTAATTCATAAAAGAAAAATGATGGGCTTTTATCTATTATCGTTCATTCAATCATTTCACCATACCCTTGTGTATAATTCTGAAAAAATTTAGGTAATTTTAGTCATATCAGCTGTCATTTTTTATACTTTATTTCAACTTTTCTTATGACATTCACTCAACTTCTAAAATGAAGTTGAGTGATAGCAGGTGGGTAACAGCAGTGCCAGGCATTCACAGCATTTGAC